AAAAAAAAAAAAAAAAATACAAGAATATAAGTAGAAGTTCGAATTATTGCCAAGATAAATGAAATCAAACTAAAATTCAATCCCCGGTAATGACGCCAAAAACTTGTTTACGAAATTATGATTTCGATTTGTTTCCGTAAGTGTATAGTTTGTTAACAAATAATAAAGTGAAAAATTTGAGTTTGAATATCATCCCATAGAGATTGAGTAGCCTAATTTTATTTATCTTGTCCTTAACCGAAATAAGATTGTCAAAAGTAATTTTATAACTTAATTAAACCTTAACCTAAACTAGGTACGCAAATGTGCATGACTTGAACAAATTAATATGTAAACTGACGCTTAGATGAACTAAAAATGCAAATTGAATATTTGAAATGCAAATTGATGAATTTAATAAATGTATAACGCACTAGGATCACGAATCCCTAAGCAATACTCAATTTAACCATAGTTCTATAATTTGACAACACGTTGAAATTATGAAGAATCAATGCTCTTAAATCTATCCAACAGTCTCTCTCGAGCAAAGTTGAACCTACTCTCTTATACCATCAGCCTATATCTCTATGATGAGTGCAAATATACAAGAATACATGTAGTTTTGTGAGCACTTAAAGATTCAAGCAGAGCATGGCAGTATAACTCTATCCCCTATCGGACTTTACGATGATTTATACATTGTAGAACCTATTCCCCTTCTCTCAAATGCAAGAAATAGATCACCGCACTCACACAATTACGGGCCTAATAATTATGGAAGAAATTAAGCCCCTATTTGTTTCCCATTATTTGATCATTAAAATGAAAAATATGATTATTATCCATCACATTAAACCACCATATTTGAATTTTTATATCTTATGTGGGTTTGTAACGGTTATATTTTTCATTCTCCTTCTTACATTAATGGGAAACAAATGGAGCCTAAATGTATATAAATCATTCAAAATGTTCAATATGTGTTTTAATATAAAAAATATAGGACAAGGAATTAAAACCACATCGAACTCCTAGTACAATACTTTTAGCCTAGCATGGAGAAATTATAAAATACATGATAACTTGAAGAAATAACATCACGGGGTTAAATGATTGCGTGATCCTGTTGTTCTTTGTGTTTTTTCTTTGATTTTGTGGCTCCAAATTCTCTCAAATAGGTATTTCTCCTTTCCAATGTGTTCTCTCCCTTTAGGGACGGTCCTAGGGTTGTAAAATACCTCTAAATATTTGTTTCCATTAGAATTTGATTCCAAATAGGAAATCAAATTTTTTTTTTGTCGCGATTGGCTTGGGCAGTCGCTCAGGCAAAACCCGGTTAGTTGTCCAATTCAAAATTTTCTTCTCGGTAATTGTTTTTAAACGTTGGGCAGTCGCCTACTCTAAACAATTGGGCTGTTGTTCAGTTATAAAAACTCTCGAATGTTGCATTTTAGCCTCGAAATTCGATTCTTGATCTTTTCAAGTCCTTTCTCTTGCATTTTCAACCATTTGACTTTAAATTGCATCCAATCGAACCTACAGCACCTTTAATCTTCATTTTGTGGACCGAATCAATTATTGAAATATTGCAATTTAGTCCCCATACTTTGGATTTCCCCCTTTTTCTTTTCTTTTTTCTTGAATTCCGCCATTTCCATCAATAAAGTCCTACAAAACAAAATTATACAGAATTAAGCCATAATCCAGATGTTTTGATCAACAATTAGTCATATTTTGTGGATCGGACACACTTATCACCTTACAAATACAAGGAGTATTGTCAGTTTGTGTATAGATATGAACCTGCAATAGGTAAGAGTAGTAAAGGCCCAAATTTAGGTCGACTTCATGTTAGCATATGCTGATGTAGTGATATTGAATGATCAAAGTCATCTTTTGTCCTCGTTTTTCCATTGCCCAGTCGCATTATGACCCTTGTCCTATGGCCGACAATATACCCGTTTCAGGCACAACCTCACTGCATACCACTGGCAACCATATTTTGTAATGGCCTCAAACTACATGTTTGAGGACCATTTACTGTCTTTGAGTGTGTATACCATTGGATCGCTGTTGGACCAGCAGTTCCAGGTACCAGCTATCTTACTCATGAGATCATCAGTATAAAGCTCTGGGACTCGACTCTTTTTCCCTTCACTTTTCTAACGGAGAATCAAATGGAGAGGCAAGAAACTAGAAAAGTCATGACCTTTCGGAGTGGAGTAATGACTGGTAGAAGATATGTGATTCCAGCTTGCCACAGCAACAAAATTCCTTTTTGAAACCTTTCGGGAAGTTTACATTTTGAAATAATCTCCACTATTTGTAGGTCTATTTTAGACTATCTGAGAAGTTTTCATCCTTTGAGAGGGGTACTCTAGTTTAGTTGAACTTAGAACATTCCATCTTTGATTTAACGGTTGAGTATGTTTCTCAATTTGTTGTCGTTTCCAATGTATGGTGCAGTACCTTGATGAGAACAAGAAATTGATCTTGGCAATTATAGACAATCAAAATCTTGGCAAACTTGTTGAATGTGCCCAGTAAGCAGTTCTCTTCATCCTCTGTTGTCAACACGCTTTCCCTGATGACATCTTTTGTTAAAAAAGGTTTCAGATATTGCTAAATGATGGCTAGTTTTGTTTTTCATGTCAAAGAAAGATGTTTATCATTTTGAGTCATTCAGATATCTTGTAAGATTGTGTTCATCTACTATAGTTTACTTGCAGCATATAGGGACAAATACATACTGTAACTGGCTCATTATCTCTTTTAGTTTGTGAGGTATTATCGAATGATAAGTATAGTATCTTGTCATATAAGTCGGCCATGACCGGCGCCCAAAAAAACCCAACCACTGCTTCCGGTGCGCCTAAAACCGCTCAGCCCAACCCCACCGTTCCTCCCAATTCCACTGCTCCTCCTTCATTCGCATCTGCAGATAATTATCCCCAAATTTCAGCCACTTTTCTCATGACTACAAAACTCAACGGACACAATTATCTTGAGTGGGCTCAGTCCGTCAAATTAGCAATCGATGGCAGGGGCAAAATTGGGCATCTTACCGGTGAAACAACGAAACCTGCTACCGACGACCCGAATGTAAAAAGATGGCAGTCTGAAAATTCTCTAATTATTGGCTGGCTCATCAATTCAATGGAACCCGCCATTGGAAAGCCTCATCTGTTTCTTCTCACTGCTAAGGACGTCGAGGAGGCAGTTCGGGACCTTTATTCGGATCTGGAAAATTCTTCCCAAATTTTTGATTTAAAAACCCGACTTTGGAAGTCCAAACAGAACGATCACGATGTTACTACCTACTACAACGAATTAGTAACACCATTGCAGGAACTTGATCAATGTTATGATGATGTCTGGGAAAATCCAAATAATGCTGCTCGTCACATGAAAATCCAAATGATGCTACTCGTCACATGAAGAGGGAGGAAAATGACAGGGTCTACATGTTCTTAGCTGGCCTTAACCGGAATCTGGATGAGGTTAGGGGCCGTATCCTTGGTTGGAAACCACTGCCTCCTATGTGTGAGGTGTTCTTTGAGGTTAGACGCCAAGAATCAAGGAGGAAAATAATGCTGCACAGGACCGAATCTGACCTTAATTTGGAGCCTAACAGTTCTGCTCTTGTGTCTAAAATGGATTGAGACAATGATGGGCGGAAGAAACCATGGTGCGATTATTGCAAAAAACCGTGGCATAAAAGGGATACATGCTAGAAGCTTTATGGTAGACCAGCCAACTGGAAACAAAAGTCTAAAAGAGAAGGTCGAGCCTATCAAACCATATCTGAAGAAACTTAAGAACTTTCAACCAATTCAGATGCAGTTCCTTTCTCCAAGGAACAATTAGAGCACCTGTACAAGTTATTTCAATCTCCAAAAATGTCCTTAACTCCTTCCTGCTTCTTGGTACAAAAGGGTAATTCTCTTGTCACTGATTTTTTAGGTGTTATCCCTAATTGTGCTCTTTCTTGGATAGTTGATTCTGGCGCAACCGATCATATGACCGGCTGCTCCCAATTGTTCTCATCCTATAGTCTATTTGCAGACAATAAAAGAGTAAAAATCGATGATGGTTCACTCTCGGTAATTGTCGGGATAGGAACTATCAAACTCACTTCATTGATAACCCTGTATGATATACTCTATGTTCCCAATTTGCCTTGCAATTTGCTATCCATCAGTAAAATCACATCTAATCATCAGTGTCAAGCTAATTTCTGTTATTCTCATTATGAGTTTTAGGAATTAACTTCGAGGAGGATGATTGGTAGTGCTAAGGAAATAGATGGACTCTATTATTTTGACGAAGGACCTAACTCAAGTAGGCAATGTCAAAGTACTTGTTTAAATTCTGTTTCCGATTTCGAGAATATTAATGTTATGCTATGGCACTGTAGGTTAGGCCATCCTAGCTTTCAGTATTTAAAATACTTGTTTCCCAACTTATTCGGAATAAAAATCTGTTATCTTTTCAATGTGATGTTTGTCAGTTTTCTAAGCATCATCATGCATCTTTCCCCACCTAATCTTACAAACCAACTACACCATTTACTGTGATTTATAGTGACATTTGGGGGCCATGTAGAATACCTACATATTCTGGAAAAAAATGGTTTGTGACCTTTATTGACGATCACACGAGAATAAGTTGGGTGTATTTGACGAAGGAAAGATCTGAAGTGGAAATAATGTTCAAAAACTTTTACACCATGGTACAAACACAATTTCAAAAAAATATTCAAATATTGCGAAGTGATAATGGTCGAGAATATTTCAAAAACATGTTAAACCAATTTTTTCTTGAAAAAAGGATTGTTCATCAAAGCTCTTGTGTTGACACTCCACAACAAAATGGCTTAGTTGAAAGAAAAAACAAACATTTACTGGAAGTAACTCGGGCATTGTTATTTACCAATCAGGTACCTAAATATCTTTGGGGTGAAGCCATTCTTACTGCTACATATCTCATAAACAAAATGCCTAGTAAGATTTTAAACTTTAAAACACCTTTCGAAGTTTTTCAAAAGTTTTATCTAACAAATCGACTTTCTTCATCTACACCACTAAAGATATTTGGTTGTACTGCTTTTATTCACATTCATAAACAAAATCGGGGAAAACTCGAACCCCGAGCCACAAAATGTGTATTTGTAGGATATGCACCCACTCAAAAAGGGTATAAATGTTTTGAACCCATTTCCAAAAAAATGTTTGTTACCATGGATGTTACCTTTTTTGAATTACAGCCCTATTTCACACCTCATCTTCGGGGGGGGGAACCAAAACAAAGAAGATTCGGCAACTATTTTCCACGATCTTTTCCAAACTACAGAACCGCAAAATGATGTTTCTCCAACCTTGATCATTCAACCTGAAAACCCTAGCGTCATTATGCCAAGTGAGTTAAGTTTCTTGGATACTAAAAAGGGAGGGCCTCCTATAGTGACAACTCATGATGTCTCCAACGAAAGAACTACAAGAAAACATTTGACATTGTCTACTCGAGACAAAGGACAACTCAAAAGAAAGGGTCCTCCAATCCTTTGCACTGCCCAGAATCCGTAAACCCTCCAGGTAATGTCCTCACCGAACCTTTACCTCATGTTCAACTCAATTCATCTTCTAATTCTGAACCCTCCAAGTCTGATTCCTATCCTGAGATAGGTGATTCTGAACTTCCCATTGCAGTCCGGAAGGGTGTGAGGTCTTGTACCCAACATCCATTGTCCAATTATGTGTCATATGAAAATCTCTCACGTGTATTTCATGCTTTTACCTCACAATTGTCTTGTATGGAGATTCCTAATACTGTGCAAGATGCTCTAAAAGTTCTTGAATGGAAAGAGGCTATCTTTGAGGAGATGAAAGCTCTTGAAAAAAATGGCACGTGGGAGGTAGTTGATCTACCAAGAGGAAAGACAACTATAGGATGCAAATGGGTGTTTACAATCAAGTATAAATCTGATGGCTCTCTAGAACGATATAAAGCTCGATTGGTTGCCAAGGGATTCACTTAAACCTATGGTATTGATTACTTAGAGATATTTGCACCAGTCGCAAAGCTAAACTCGGTGAGAGTTCTTTTGTCACTTGCAGCTAATCGTGACTGGCCTCTGCAACAGTTGGACGCAAAAAATGCGTTCCTTAGTGGTAACCTAGAGGAAGAAGTATACATGGATGCACCCCCAGGATTCTGTGAAAAGTTTGGCACAAAGGTATGTAAACTGAAGAAGTCCCTATATGGATTAAAACAATCACCAAGAGCCTGGTTTGAAAAAGTCTCTCAATTTGTTAAAAGTTAGGGGTATACTCAAGGACAAGGTGATCATACGATGTTTATAAGACATTCACATGATGGAAAGATAGCAATACTGATTATGCATGTAGACGATATAATTCTCACTGGAGATGATGTACTTGAGATGAACCGATTGAAGACTTCCCTCTCATCAACATTTGAGATCAAGGACTTAGGATCTCTGAGATATTTCCTTGGAATGGAGGTTGCTCGATCAAAGAGAATGTCAACAGAAAGCAACATATCAGGGCATAAATTCTGTGTTTGACTCATCAATAGAAAGCAACATATTAGGGCATAAATTCTGTGATTGACTCATCAATAGAAAGCAACATATCAGGGGCATAAATTCTGTAATTGACTCATTAATCTAGACTGTAAATAGGAGAAGAGATTTAGCTTGCCATATGTAAGTTACCAGATATAACTCTCTAAAATCACTCTATATAATTAGCATGTATAGTTTAACTTTCCTTGTATACTGGTTAATTTTACCTGTATAAATGAAAGACTTTTTCAGAAGAGAAGACAATTCGAACCATTTTGATATGGTATCGGAGCTATAGTCTAAGAAATATATATATATTTTTTTCAATCATAGCCTCAAGAATTATGAAGAAGTCAGATAATGTTTGTGTCAGATTCACTGGCAAAAATTATGCTGCCTGGGAGTTTCAACTGGAAACATTTCTCAAAGGAAAACAGCTCTAGGGTTATAGAGATGGGAGCAACAATGGTGGTTCTACTGCTGCTAACAAGGCAACTTGGTTGCCAAAGATAACCAGATCATGTCATGGATTCTTAGTTCTATGGAACCACATCTGATTCTTGCTTCGCGTCCCCATAGGTCTGCAAAGGCTATGTGGGATTATCTCAAGCAAGTCTATAACCAAAACAACAATGCTAGGCGTTTCCAGCTTGAGTTGGCTATTGCTAACTATACCCAAGGAGACCTATCTATTCAAGATTAGTACTCTGGTTTCTTGACTTTGTGGAATGATTATTCAGACCTTGTTACAGCCAAGGTCTTTGTAGAAGGGTTGGAGGCAGGAATGGAGGCAGTACAACACATACACAAAACCAGCCAAAGAGACCAATTTCTGATGAAATTAAGGTCTGATTTTGAATCTGTTCGTGCCTCTCTAGTAAATAGAGATCCTGTTCCAACTTTGGAGGCATGTTTTGGAGAACTCTTGCGTAAGGAACAACGTCTCAATACTCAAAA